GAGAGAGAGAGAGAGATTGTATCAATATCTTAATTTGAGAAATAGGAGATTTTCCCCCCTATTTTTCGGTTCAAACTTTCTAAAATGGGTATTTGTCCCCAACTCAAATTCAAGAGAGGGAAAGATATGCATACATATCTAAGATTGTTTCCATATCCAAGAGAATTATCCATGCAAGCGTGATAACCTCTCTCAATGCCTGCACACCCCACTCTCTCTTTCTCTCTCTCTCTCTCTCTCATTAGTTAGGGTTTTGATGAGGGACCTTTCATTTAGTATTTGACATGGTCATGTTTGACAGTTTTTTTGGACTTCCAAGTGATATCGAGAACTCATTAGCTCAAAATAATGGAGCCCTTCATCGACCAAACCTACATGGCTACAAGCACTAAGGACACTCATAAATGTCACACAATTGGGCTTCAATCCCTGACCTTCATCTCTCAGGCATCACATAGAAGACCATTAAAGCTAGCTCTAAACTCCCACATTTTGAATACGTGTTTATAAGTTATGTGCCCAAGCGAATGCTTAGCTTAATTCCATGCTCACCCCTTAAGAAATGTACCCATCGCCCTAACTCTAAAGCACCCATATGAGCACAAATCGATGTGATAGACATCCAGTCTCTTAACCACCCCACATGCATGCATCATCAAAACCCAGCTCACTAAACTCCTCTCAGGCATCTCATCAAAAATTCGCTTTGCTTTCTCAATTCACCCATACTTTCCATACATGCCTAAAAGAGAATGTCCCTCTTTGTTACATACGTCTTCTTTACTCTCAATAACATATGTTCATGAAATCAAATACTATTATATTCATTTTTATGTAGTACACCCCAGGAATGCATACTATGTTTTTTTTTTAATTATCGTCATGCATGTTTTACTTCCATGAAATCAAATAACGTATGTTCACTGTTATGTAGTGCAATGTTTATCTGCGATTATAATTGTTTTTTTTCTATCGCCAAAAAATGGTAAAAGAATGTCTTAAGGTAGAAAATCACTATTCGGAGAATAATATTTATGTTCATGTAAATACCTGGCAAAATATGTTAGGCCTCGAGACATGTCATATTGTCACGTACATGCAACAAATGTTCAACATTTGTAATGATATTACGTAATAGGAAACAGATCATAACTCTAGAAATTTCTCATATCTTATTTGTTGTATGGTTTAATGAATTAATGTTCAATGCATATTCAAAATTTGTAGTAACTATGTCGTAATTCATAATAGTTCTTTGAACATAGATCAACGTAGAGATGCACGTTAACATTATATATTTGTATCATTAATGATGATTCTGTTCTACGTGCAACACGCGTAATTCAACTAGTTTAGAACTAATTTGCAGTTTGCAAGTTACGACTGTCTCATTTGGTGTGTTTTTTGATTGAATGCTTTGTCTAGGTTTTACTACCTGTATATTATTAATTCGTGTGTTCTTATACAAAAGCAATAGTTGATGGTTATAAAAAAACTGCAGTCGCACCTAAATCAAAGTGGCAATGAATGTGATGCAAAGATGAATTGTGGCTCAGAGTAGCCTCTATTCATTTATTGGAACCTACTATAAATCTTGATCTGACCTGTAGCTATGTCACAATTCTCAAACATGAAGGAATATGATTGTTCTGCAGATGAGGGTCATACTGTAATTGTGAATACCACCTGGCATCTACATATTTCATGCTCTTGTGTATAGCTCTTGTACCTTTTAATTCCTCCGGAGCATAAATTTGAAAATTAAAACAAAAAATACTATTGGTCTTAGAATTTGGAGATTGGCGTCTTCCTTTTTTAATTCAAACCAAAACTACTGTTAGTAATTTTCGGGCAATAGAAGAATTTGATGTTCTAGATATCAAGTAGATAGCAGATCCTATACATGCAATTTCCAACATGTGATGCTTGTTCATTGTGTAGATACTTGACACAAATCCACAGTTATTCTTCCATCTCCAACAGCAGAGGTTGATAGAGCTCATCCGCAACGGCAAAGTAGAGGAAGCTTTGGAGTTCGCTCAAGAGGAGCTTGCCCCTAGGGGTGAAGAAAATGTTTGTAGTTTCTCTTCTGCTTAATGTTAATTTTCTCTCTCCTTTCCTTTGTTGGACTAAACTATTGGATATGGTAGTTCAAAAATGATGATTTCAAGAAAAATGGAAAGAGAGGAGATGAAAAAATAAAGGAATTGTTCTGTAAATAACCCAATTAATTATTTTTTTTTTAAATGCAAGATTGCGATGTGGCTGTGGCTGTGGCTGTGGCTGTCCCCCTCCTTTTGTGAGAGAGAGAGAGAGAGAGAGAGAGATTTATTAAGTTTGGTTGTGTTCTGCAGCAAAGCTTTCTAGAAGAGCTGGAGAGGACGGTAGCATTGCTAGCATTTGAGGATGTGTCCAACTGCCCCGTTGGAGAGCTGCTTGACATATCTCAACGCCTCAAAACAGCAAGTGAGGTCAACGCTGCAATTCTCACAAGCCAGAGCCATGAAAAGGGTTAATAAGACGATTACCCATCTCTCTCCCTCTCTCCCCAGTTCTCTCTCTCTCTCTCTCTCAGAGTTGAGCTTGTTTTTATGTCCAATGTGTATAAATGTGGTTGTTGTGAGAGACGTTGGGTGCTAAAGCTCGTTCTTAATACTGCAGATCCAAAACTTCCAAGCCTCTTGAAGATGTTGATTTGGGCTCAGAATCAATTAGATGAGAAGGCCACTTTCCCTCGAATAAAAAATTTCTCTACTGCAGCTCTAGAAGACCCATCAATCTAAATCCCACATGTATCATACGGGGGCCTTCTGTGCAAGGGTCTTTGCATCCATTTACTTGATCTTGAGGTGCCATTGAATTAATTTTTGCCTTTTTAATTTTCTCATGCTCATTCGAATGTGGAAGTGTATAATGTAACAAGAGCATGGCTTTGCCATTGATTGAGAGAAAATGCTAGAAGTGCATGTCAAAGCTACCTTTGGGCAATGTAACGATGCAAGAGGCCATGTGATCGAATTATCAATGTATGAAAGAGGGTGTGATCTGCTTTGTATTTTGAAGTACGAATATTGTCTTCCATTTTCCTGTGCAAGAGACATATCCTTTCTCCATTGACCAATTTCATATGTTGTACAGAAGTGTGTTCTTCTGAGAGGAAAAATATCCAATATATTCTACGTCAGTTTGAAGAATTCTCTTGGGCAACAACGAATGTCCGCTCTCTGCGTGCTTTCTTTCTCGCCTTTTTGACAATTTTGCTAGAGGTTCTCATACAAAGCTAGCACTTGCATTTAATTGCACCTCTCCTCTCCATGCATTGGCCTTGGGTGATAAATGACGGATTAAGAGTTTGGATCGGCACAGCTAACAATTGTCCATTTTTTTATATCCAGAGACTCAGGGGATACTAAAGAAATGTATGAAATCATTGCAAAAAACTGGTCCAACCAGTTTGATTGGTGATTGGATCAGTTTTGACTGGACTCTTAACTACTTAGTTGCAGGTTGGATTTTAAATATACTGATTTCAGGTAGTGTTTAAAAGTTGGGATCAAATATTGGCATGCGAAGAGTTTGAGCTTGAGTCCTTTCAGTTTGACTCTAATTCCGAGATTAAAGGAAAAACCCAAAAGTAAGAGATTTTGGCGATTCTAAGGGCTTTTGGCCTTGAATTTCAATCCTCATGAATCTGGTATATCTTGGGTGAAGCGATTACTTGGAACACTTGTTTGAATAAATGAAGTCAATTTTTTGACATTCCCTTTCAAAACAAGAAATAAACTTCCTTTGGTCACCAAGCCTCCTATCAGAAATGCATGGTGCCTCCTACGACAAATGGATAGCCGGTTTCGTCTTAAGAGAAGGCTTTCCAAGTTTTTTGTGAGATGGTACCTTGACCAATGAAAAATGATCTTTATATTGGCGTATATATAAGTCATTTTGTAGAGAGTGTGAAAATGATTATTGAGCCAAAACTTTTGGAGAAAGAGAGATCGGGGGTTTTGCTGATCCGTTGGCGGACCTAGCATTGCTGTGCCGCCTTTATTGGGCCAGATGTATTGGTGCTTCTTTACAGCGATGAAGTTAGTAACGGTGTTATTGTGGTAGGAAAATCAATGTGAGGCTTTTTGCCATTACGAGGTAATCTCTATAAAACTCATAAAACATGTAAGTTCCTTTAATTGTGAAGGAGAAGCTTGTTATACATCTTCACCCATATATATTTTACCTGCATCCCCCATTTCTCAGACGTTCGATCTAAATGGACGGTTGAGATGACCTCAATTGCAATTTCATGCCTAAACACAATCTTTTTAAATTTTTTTCTAGAAATGATATTGACACCGAATTTACGGCGTCCAATTCTCTATTAAGATCGCATCAATAAAAAATATAAAACATATTCTTGATAAAATAAAATGACCCAAATGCCCTTGAAAGTTTTAAGGGTATTTTGATCATTTTTATTTTATCATATTCTTTCTCCCTACCCTCTCTTTCTATCTGCCATCTCTCTATCCACCTCTCTCTTTCTCCCTCTACCCACCATCTCTCTCTTCCTCTCTACCCAGCCTCTCTCTCTCTTTCTCATTGAAAAAATGTGGTTTGACATAAAAGTGTTTTAGACCGACCTCTGGCTTTTGGAAATCCAAAAGCCTCGTGACCGATCCGATACACTTTTGTGTCAAAATAAATAAATAAATAAATAAATAAATAAAAAAAAAAAATGGTCCATAATAGAAGTGTCCCGAATCGGCTTCTGGAATTCTAAAAGCCTTGTGGCTGGTCTGACACTATAGAACTTAGAAGCCAGTCCAGTACACTTTGGTGCTAGACCATATTTGTTTAATACCTGAGAGAGAAAGAAGGGCGGTCGGAGAGAAAGAGAGAGAGAGGATGGGTAGAGAGAAAGAGAGAGATAAAGAGGGTGGAAAGAGAGAGGGGATGGGTAGAGAGAGATTTAATGGACAAGGAGTAAGGAAGGCAAAGGTAGTTTGCTCTGTAACATTTAGTTTTTGACCGCGGTAAAAGCAAATAGCTGAGTTACTCGGCTAGAACAAGTCCAAGACATGCCTAAAAATTTAAAAGACAGTGTTGATTGTGCATATGGGTTGTATTCTTGTTTAAAGAAGGAACTCATCTCTCTCCCTCTCTGTCGTCATATGTGTAATCAGATGTGTTGAGATTGTGTAAGGAGGTAGGGACGTCTGCCAAGAAAGGACGGGCATAAGGGGTAAGATATATTCAGTTTCCTAAACAGGGTATAAGCCTGTTCCACTCTACACATTGTAATTCCACAGAGGGTGCTCTGCTGAATTGCTTTACGAAGCTTACCATCATTTAAGGATTGAATCCCAAAAGCCTGCTCTGCAGCTCAGATTTTAAGAATATCTAAATCTGTAATTTTTTCCTCTTCTTTTTAAAAGTAACAAACTTTTACTTTGAATTCAACCTGTTTTTTTAGGTGAGTCGGTGGGGAGAGGGACCCTACCTGGCACTAACCAATTAAGCCTGTGTGGGTACCCGAGTCCTTTGGCTCGGCCCTAAAAAAACTAGTCAGTGGCCCGAGGTTCAGGTCAAGACTAGGGTGAGCCCGGACCTTGGCCCAGTTTAATCTTTTTTTTTTTTTGGTGGGCCAGGATGTTGGCCCATCTTAGTCTTTCTTTTTTTTTTTGTTTATTTGGATTGTGTTTGGCCCCCACCCATTTCACCTGATTATCTAAAATAAATATACCGCAAAATTTACAATGATGTCCCTTCCATTTCACCAGATTACCTAAAACACACCCAATTAGATTAGAAGGGCAAATACCATCATTAAGGCCCCATTGGAAGGAACTCCTCAAACATATTTCATAGCATCTTCCAGGAGACGAGAATAGAAACAAAAGCCATAGAGAGAGAGAATACAGATTTTATAACCTATCTCTCTCTCTCTCCAAAATCAGAAACTACAGATTACTACATACCCTGTAATCTACTCTCTCTTTCTCTCTACAAAATGCAGACGCTAGCAATGCTTGGCCTTGCAACAGGCACCCAGGAGCCCATCTCAGACGCATCATCCCCTGTTTTAAACCTGCAAAACTCAGCGGTTCTTTGGCCATCATCAAAGTTCAGGGAGTAGCTCCAAGCATCATATTGAAACCTCAGCCTTCTCTCACTCCCGCTCTTCATGGCCTTCTTCACATGAGCCCTCACCTTCCAAAACAAGCTTCTGCACCACTTCTTCCCATACCCATTCACCCAGCTAATCCTCCCTCCCCAAAACCCCATTTTTAGAGACAGACAGAGGGCCACAAGAAACACCCAACAAAATCAACTATATATAGTGAGTTCTGAGAGGTTCTCTCTTTCTAAGATGTTTAATGGAGAACTACTACCTTCTTAACTTACACAAATAAAGGCATTATTCAAGAATGCAGGGCCTTAAGGGCCTTTACAAAAAATTGGTCCCTGTTTTTGCAGGGTGGGTGGTCACATGGGGAGAGACAGAGAGGGGGGGAGGGAGTAGATTCGGGTTTCTGCTGCCTCGGGGAGCTCAAATTCCATAATAAATGTTCAATGACAGGGCTTCTAAGAGTACTTATCTCTATATCTCTAGATTGTACATTACCTATCAATACCCCCGTATTTAACGTAATGTCGTCGATGCCCTCAAACCACCATTTCTGTGTTTCGGGGGGGGGGGCGGGGGGGCGGGGGGCGGGGGTTCTATGAGGTTGTAACCTTAAACAATCCAATTAAAGTTCACCTCCAAAATTTATCATGTGTATAAATTTTTTTTAGGATTATCTGTCTCTTTCATCTTGAGTTATAAAATTTTAAACTTTAAAAATGGTTAAAATCAAGTAGGTCTATAAACATTTGGAAATCTTGAAAATGGATGATCTAGATAATATGTTGGAAGTTGCGTTATTTTTTAGACTCAAATTTTTTTTTTTTCATATTCATACATCACGATATTGAGATGATCAATTAGAGGGCTTTCTAACATTAAAATACCATTTTTCAATGGATTTTTGAGATGCATCATTAGTTCTACATTTTAATGTTGCAACCTTATACAAACTTTTTCCTTCTATGTGACCGCAACGACATATAAAATGTGACCTTACTTCTTGGCCCTTCGATTGAGATTAAACAACTACGATTGTTCATACCACAATGTCACTTCAAACACTATTTTTAATTTTTATTTTTATTTTCAAAACATATTTGGATGAAATTTTTGGCGTCCCATCATAAAATTAGGGCAAACATAGAAAAAAATGAAAAACAATTTTTTTTTTATAAAAATAAATAACCAAATTCCTCTGTAATTTTTAGGGGTATTATGATATTTTTTTGTCATAAGAAATATTTGTTTATTATTTTTATCATTTGCACTCCTCTTAGATCTATACATGCCCCAAAATTTGCTTCAAAATTATTTGTAGAATAAAAATAAAAAATAAAAAAACTATGAGTCGTCAGATTAAGATCTGACAGTTAAAAGCTAGCTTGTGACATTGTGACTCAAGCCTTCTCAACCATAAGCTCAGGTCTGACGGCTAATACTAGGGGTCACATATACCATATATGTGGATGGGGTCACATAAAAAGGCCTCCCAACACTAAAAGACAAACTATATCATAAAAGGTGTAGTTTGTATAAGGTTGCAATGACGCAAATACAAATTTATTATAATAAGTAATTTTGGTGTTAGTCCCTCCAAAGTTTATTCTAAGATATAATTTTGGTATTAAAAATTCTTAGGATGGCCGAAAAATCTATTTTCATAACTAATTATAGATTTTAAACTCTAAAAAGTGATTAGGATCAAATAGACCAATAAACACATGGAAATCTTGCAAGTGGATGTTTCTCGTAAGATGCACTATTTTTGAGACTCAAAATAGTAATAGTAATATTATTACTATTATTAATATTAATATTAATATTAATAATAATAATATTATTATTTCAGATTTATACATCTCGATATCAAGATTATCAATTAGATGGTTTTCCAACATCAAAACAACTTTTTTTGATGGATTTTTGAGGCGCGCCTTAATTCCACATTCTAAGGTTGCAATCTTATATAAATTTTTTCTTAATATAAAAGTTTGGGAAAC